TTCATTAAAACAAAAATCATAAAACTCTTTCGTTCAGTCATGGAAAAAAAAAGTCTCATAAGCTTTGATGAAATAATGAATCTTTGCATTTGCCTCTGAGTACAGGTTGTGTGAATATCATTGCCACAACCTCCTTAAATATCTTATTAAAGGAAAAAGAAACAAACACGAGACATCCCCCGCAAAACCAGAAGGTAATCTGAAGATAGGTGGTCAATGCATCACCGCATCTGCGTTTCCAGATTCATGCAAGTGTTCTTTCCTTATTTAACGCCGCTGCCTTTGAAGCGGGGTGCGGGGTGTCGCTGCCGGGCTGCGGGGGAGCTGCGGCGGGCCCGCCCGTCCTGCCCTGCCCCGGGGAGGGGGTGTCAGTGGCTCCCCCCACCGCCTCCCCCCCCGCTCCCCGGCACCTCCCGCTCGGACCCTGGGGCTATTTAGGCCGTCGTTACCTGTTAGCTGCCAGCCGGGACGAGATATACCCGCCGGGGATTTGGGTGATTATGTACCCCCAGAAAAAAGAGCCGTGGATCATGCCAACTGTTTCGGGATCCCAATTAAACTTCGCTTTCTTCCAGTGCAAGGGACCGGGAGAGAGGGAGAGAAAGAGAAGAGGAAGGCTGTAATCGTGCCAGATTAAATCACTCACCCGCAGTAACTTCATACCGGGCAGTCGAGGGGGAGGCGGGGGGGTGTCTGGCTTCTAGCGCGGGGGTGGCACTTGGCGGCGGGGGCACAGGGACAAGGACACGGCGCACCGGGCGCCCAAAGCTGCTCACTGTGCCTTAGCCCACCACTGCAAATACTCCAGCTGCCCGCCAGGAAAATAAGCAGCAAACCAAATTCAATAACAGTAATAAAACCAGCACCGTGCGTGCCCCCCTGGGACACGAGAGGGGTGGGGTAGCTCACGAGTGACCAGAGCCCCGTCTCCCCTCAGCCGCTCCGCCGGGACAAGCTCCGCGGGGCCGGGCCGGGGCAGTGCAGACCCCGGGAGCCGCGGGGACCCGCGGGGACCCCGACTGCTGCTGCACCGCCGCGGAGCCGCCCCTCCGGGCTTGCAAATACAGCCCTGCGCGCTCGGGGTGGGGTGGGGAGGTCGCCTGCCCTCCCTGCCCGCATGGCCGTGGCTGTAAGCACCTACCTCTTGCCTGTGCAAGGAATAAGCTATAGGGTTTTGCCTGCGAATTTGTGTATTTAACACTCATCCGTATTTAGCGTTCACCTCTTTCTCGCTAGGCAATAACCCGTTTTAAAACGGGTCTTATAATTTTAACGCCTTTTATCGACGCAAATTCTTTCACTCCGGTGTTTTCAAACATTCCTGCACAGCCTTCCCGCCTCGGTTACAGCGCGGCGACTCGCTTATTCGACGTCCTCCTTCCCCCATCCCCTACACTGATTTTAGGAGATATCTGCGTTTTTCGAGATTGTGTGCCAAAGGAAAAAAAAATAATAATCTGTCCGCAAATTAATACCGCAACACGAAGCTGGGAACCGAAAAGGAAAAATAGGAACAATCGGTAGAAATGGTTTCTTCTTCAAGAACGGGTTTCCGTCCTGCCGAGGGCGGCGGCGGGGCCGGGCAGTGCGAGGGGGACCGCCCGCCCCGGGCCGGGGAGTATCGCGGGCTGAGCCGGGGGCGGGGGGAATGCTGCGAACCCGTCCGAGCCCGTCTCGCCTGCGCTAAAGGTGCTCGGCCTGGGAGTTGTACTGGGAGGACATGGGATTTACGAGGGAAGGGTTCCCACCTCTTTAATAATTTTTCCTCCTCGGTGTATGGTGCTGTTATTGACCATATCCACGATGGCCACTCCCAAGTTACATCGGATACCGAAGGAAATGCAGAATCCCAGTCCACTCATGATGGCAATGATGTACCTCCGGGGCAGCCCGAAGCAGGTACAGTCGCACAGCGGGGCTTTCTTCTCGGGCATTTCCATGGGCTTTCCATCTTCCGTCAGTTCGATGGTGTCCCCGGGCTTCTGCCTCTTCTCTAGGACTCTGCCCGACACAAGAAGGGAAAGTCAAGCCCTGGCCGCCGGAAGGCACAGCCACTTCGGGTAGCTGAAGGCTTAAGTTCACCACTTCCCCCGCCCCTTTGGCTCGGTTTGGATTGATTTGAGGATTTATTCCTTGTTTTCCATTCACCTTCAACTGTTCTTTAGCAATGACCTGTGGGAGTCACGATTAGTCATCCCCAACTCCCCCCCGCCACCCCGCCGCAGAAGCCCAGGGAGGAGCTCTAGCTGAGAATTGCTCATCTATCTTTAAAGACTTCTGCTTAAATATGTAGGACGCATTAAGAAGACATCATCTGTAACCACTGCAGAGGCGCCATGTTGGGTAGCCCAAGAGGCATAGTATGGAAACCGAAACAGGCTTTTGGAGAAGGTTTTATTCCCTCGTTGCTGAATTAGACACACCGAGGGGGATGAGCTTGGTGTGCATCTCGCTACATATCTGGGAACAAAAGAAATATTAACAGAAAGGGAAGGGGCGGGGGGCCATATTGCCTCTTATTTTAGATTTGCAAAATGGCTGTCACATGCAGTGAAAGAAAACATGACCGTCTTTAGAGAACTGCCAGCTCCGGAGACGTCTGTCCAAAAGATCTCATCTGCCCAGTAAACGCGGTGTGAGCGTGAGATCGCTCAGCAGGTTTAACCTGCCCAGATCGGCTTTAAGCTCGATCCCGTTGCACCCCACTCCCTTGTTTTCACATGGGAATCCTATCTCCTAGAAAACAATGTGCAGGAATCTGAAGGGGAATGGTTGTCTGCAGCTATTTCGAATCAACAGGATTGTTGTACAAAAAAACAAAAAACAAAAAACCCGACCAACCTTGCCATGCACGAAAAGTGACATTTCGTTTTATTTCTTCTTTGCTGGAAAAGCTTTAAAAATGACGTTTTAGTAAGAAAGATCGTGTTTATCGAACAAGTGTCCCATGCTGAATCTCTTAGTCTTCTTTTGCAGTCACTGAGATATTTAAAAGACAGAAAAACTAACCGCTTCCATCCTAGCTCCAACGTCTTGAGGAGCGAATATCTGACCATTTCCCGACACTCTGGACTCTCCTACCGCTGCCCTCACACCTGCTCTAGGAGTGTTTTCTCAAGTCAGAAATTCCCCTTGGAGCATCTCTTTGAGGTTAACTCATCCGGCTAACAGGGCAGTAACAATTAGCAGAATCAAGCTCAAAAGGTTCTCCGTGTTTTGGAGAAAATACAGGGATTTTCTCCAATAGTTACTCAGTTGAAATTCTCCCGATTTTTCTTTGCTGGGAGAATTATTCCCATGCTTAAAGACCGCAGCATTAAGAAATGCCTTAAAGTTGTGAATAAAACAAAACACCGTGGGTTTATATTCAAAATTCGTTTGTGCAAGTAAAGGACGATGTAGAAGTGTTTTCTCCTTGAATGGGCAGACACTAGAAATCAACGTCTAAGGGACAGAAAACTGTTTTAATTCTAAAAATCAGAAACAAAATACTTCAGTCCCTTGCATTGAAAAAGATTAGTAATTCGCGCATTTGTTAATCAAGGGGGAGTTCAAACGGAGTTTTGCTGGAAAATACAAACACCGTTTCTCCACTATTTACTGTGTGAATAATGTAGACATGATCGGTTTATTTATATGTTGTAGAATCTTTCAGGGCGAAAAAGGGGTTTATTTCCCTAATTATATTTTAAGCAGTTATTTTGGATCATCAGTATTTATTTTTCTTTTTCTGACCATTGAAAATTATTTAAATATGACTAAAAACTGTAGGATATTCACTTCGTTGTTGATGGCTTTGGTTTGTTGGTAGGTTGGTTTGTTGTTTTTTTTTTTTTTTTTGCTTTTGGCTTTTCAAAATTGTACCTTTCCTACTAAAATAGAAATCTTAATTTTGTCTTTATCACTTCACTGCTATGTCCCCTTTCCTGAAAATGGCAGCAGAAGTTGTGACTCATGCTGTGGAACAGCCTTGTGCCTGTGCCCAACACTGCCGCATAGGTATGGGGGAAAAAAAAAAAAAGACTTTTACGTGACCTACTGTGGGCAGATAAATCCGCAGTTACCTTTAATCCTTAATTCGAAGAAAAAAACCAAACCACTTCGCGGTAATTTCTAGCAGAGGGGACAATCGAAAATACATTGGAATTTCACACACTATTCTCAGATGTCCTGGAGGTCGCTAAAGTCGGCAGGCTGGATGGAGCACGATGTGTCAACTTTAGTGCCTACACTTTTTAGGTATGCGAGAATTTGGGCTTGTTTATCTGTGTGTACAGGGCTCGAAGACGGTAGAGATGTTTCTTCCACACAGAAACATACCGTTGAGCGATGCTTTTGAGTTTAGCAATTGCAGTTGTGTATTACTTATAAGACAAGTGGATGCTTCTCAAAGCAGACGGATAAATAATTAAACACATCCCTCTATATGTTTCAGCTTCAGGAGAAAAAAAAAATCGTTCAGATATCAATTATTTATACATCTCCATGTTTATCTTCCTCTGACGACGAATTACACAAGGGACAAGACTAATCGAAACCAGGAAAGATTATTATTATTATTTTTTAATGATTGGTAAGGGCAGGGGGAAAGAGCCTGTGACTACATTGCAAAATTAGCACAGAACAAAAATACAGGGAGCTGCTCTCTCCTAATTATGATTTCAAGATGGGAGCCTGTGTTTGTGGGAGAAAGATGGTGTAATCTTTTGCTACATATTTACTGACACCATCTACGAATCAGACAGAGAAGTTAGGAGGGTGCCATATTGAGAAGCTTCAGCACTAGTTTCCAGGATCCAGATTATATCGGCAGTATCTCAGCAGCTCCCAGCCCCTCCACCGCCACCCTCCCCAAAGCATTCGACCTCTTTCAGCAGCTGGCGGTTATGAAAAGCTTCCAAATATTTCCAGGAATCAGAGTCCTATAAGAGATCTGTCTTACCTGTAGAGTTGACCAAGCGATTTTCCAGCAAAATTCTTCAATCCCTCCTTGCCAGGGGTCAAAATCCTTTGTTTTACCGACTCCATTCCTGCAGGGATGCTCGCTGGATTCTGCTCTGCTCTGGATAGGGCACTGCTACGAGCAACGATGGTTCATATTGGTTTAATCTCTTAACTTTTCCCCCTCATTAAATGGCTATCCGTGCACCTTCGGGTAAAGGGAGAGTGAGAGAAAGCGTGCGTGCGTGTGTGTGTGAGAGAGAGAGGGAGCGCCGGCGTGCGGAGCCGGGGGGGGGAGAGGGCGAGGGCGAGGGAGCGCGCCTGTGTGCGGCAGCGAGCGGGGAGTCTGAGAGCGCTGCAGGCAGCCCCCGGGTTTCCCGGCAGCGCGGAGTTGCCAGGCACGGTCAGAAAGTCTTCTAGGCCTGGCAGGGTTCGGTGGTGGCGGGTGGAGGCAGTGCCATGCCCGGCTGGGAGGGGACGGAGATCCCTTAGCGGGAGCGTTTCAAAGCAATCTCGGGTTGGCGCTGGCGGTGTCCCCGGCTGTAGAGCTGGAGGGGGAGGGGTGCGATTCGCCGCCGTAGGCAGACGGCTGAGAAGCA